TTAATTCCAGATTTTTTTTTCCATTGAATTCCAATTCCACCAACTGCTGTGGTGGGATTTGAATTTGGGTCCCCAGAATATTATCTGGGTCTCTGGATTAACAGTCCAGTGATAATACCATTAGGCCACTCCCTCTCCTAGTGATAATTAATCTATTTTAATTTATATTGACTAGGAGATGGGAGCTGGAAGCCTCACCAGCTTATGCAGTGCAGTGACTGGTTCAGGGCTGAGAAATAGCCTGATTTTAAATTTAGTTTCAGCACCGAGAAAGACTGTTCTGGTGGGGCAGGGGAACCAGAGTTTTGCCCAGATTTATAATCCCCCTACCATCTCCCTCCCACCTCCCCCAGTCATGGGGCTGATCCCTCTTCAGACTGCGTTCTTTCCTCTTGACCCCTCTTCAGCCCCTTCTCCCCCACAGCATAGGCTGCTGTAAACCCTGCCCGTCCTCCTCCTCCACACCTAGGCAGCCTGTGGGCCATGAGAATAAGTACCTGGGATGGATCAGGGAGGGATTGCAGGAGGCCTGGTTTCAGTGAGGCTCAGATGGTGATGAACTTTGCCTGGTGATAAAAATTGGTCCCTAGGTTACGTTGGGAACTTGCATGAGTCTTGTTGTGAAGTCCTTTCCTAGCAGGTCTGCTTACTATTTACCCGATTCTCTTCTGCCAGTCTAACATTGAGCTGTGAAAGTCCCAGGAGGCTGTAGAAAGGAAGAGATGACTTGTGGAGAGAAGCTGAAATATTAAGCTGGAGCCCCCAAACTGGATCTGTTACTTGTTAAGTGCATGGCTTGTACGCTCCTGAAATAAAATTTTTGAATTGCGATAGAATCCCTTTGGGACAGGGAGTTGTTAAACAAACTAGCAAGCAAATTGATGAAAAATTAGGCAGATTTTGGAGTGCTTTTGATAGGAATTGGATAGATTTTTCTGTTTGTCGTTGTATTTGTTTCTTTGTTAGCTTGGGGAGGTGGGCGGTGGATGGGGACTGCTGATGTGCGATGGGAGGGAATTGGAAAATGTTTGACTAAGTTTAGCAGTGTCATCACATGCAGCCTAGTGAAACACAGGGGGGAGAATCAGAGCTGGACAACTTATCTTTTGAGTAGTTACTAGAGGAGCCTGCAATCTTTGTGACAATGTGGATGGCCTGACAGCTGGGCAACTTTGCCTTTATGCAAATTGAGGTTCAAAATGAAATGAACGCAATTGCAAGCCCTGTAGCATTGGTGGAGAGTGAGACATAGAGCAAGTTGCTCAAGGTGTGTCTCTCTAGACCACGCCATGTGAGCTCCAGTTAACTGTCTGTTGGCCATACTGAAATAGCTAACCCTCTTACCAAAGAGCCCTCAGGCATCGCTGAGATCGCACAATTGCTGAATATTCTTTTATTCTGAAGAGCAGATGGAGATGGGCAACAAATTCTGGCCTTTCCAGCAACAACGCATTCCAGGAAATAGTAATAAAAGAAACTAGGATTATAGTTTATTGACCACTGGCCACATGTTCTCCACCCACTTCACTGGGAAAGAGTCTTTAAAGTTTTTGAGAAGATTTGTAGCTCGGGTTGTGGATGAGGTTGTAGACTTGCTCGCTGAGCCAGTGTGTTTGATTGCAGACATTTCATTACCCTGCTAGGTAACATCGTCAGTGCGTCTCCGGTGAAGCATCTTGTTTCCAGGAGCATGCATGTGTCAGTATGATCTACCACAACAGCCTGAACCTCCCAAGTCTTCAGTGTTCAAATATGTCAGGAAGGTTGATCCTCTGATTGTAGACCCTGTAGTGTGGTATCTCCTCTCCTTCCATCTGGATCTCCGTGTATGTCCCTCTGCCCTGTGCAGGGGCTTTTGTAGCTCCCATGCCTTGGTGGAACCTTGCAGCAGGGAAGTGCAGGTCAGATGTGCCTACCACACACTGAAAGGTTATTCTAGGGGAGGTCCTTTAGCAGCCTCTTACCGCCTTCTGGCTGGAACTCTTCGGTGTAACTGATGTTCCTAGCTCCTGCACTTCTCTGAAGAGATCCTTCCTGCTGCACACTCCCTCTTTCAGTCAGTCAGATTTCTGACACCACGTGGAACTCTGCTGCGGCTGGGAAAGAGGGCAAATAAGGCCCCAGCTGAGATCTCAAGATCTGGCTCCCCTCCCACTGCTCTGGGAAAGCCAGAAGGGGTTAGAATTGCAACCTGATGGCGTTTTCTGCAGTGGCCGTGCCCCCATCCACCGAACCAGCCTCCACTGGTCTGGGGGACATTCAAACAGTTATGCCTGGCTCCCATTCTAATTCCCAGAATCATCTTATCACTTAACATGGTCTCGGAACGTCTAGAAGGGAACTTACTTGTTGCAAAATTCACAACGTAACTAGGAAGGAAGAGGTAAATTGGTCATCTTTGTGACTTTTGCCTGGGTGACACTGATTGGAAATGTCATTAAGAGACACATCAATATTAGTCAGAAATAGTTCCTTCGCAACCTCTTCAATCAATTAATTAATAAATAAATAATAAACAGTTTTTAGTAAATTTTGAGTATTGTTATTTTAGGTAAATGGCGAGGCTAGTCTGAGCACATGAACCTACAGCCTACATGAGTAACCAGTTTAATCTCTTTCTGTTGGGGTTCCTTGAGAGAGTTGACTGTCACTCCATGAGACCTCTCGACTCTGCCTGAGGTGGTACCATGGGATTTTCTATATCTGTCTTAGGGAGGCACAAAGAATAACGTCACATCTGGCACATGTATGCATACTTCCAAATACAGTTAATGCTGTGTTGTGGTCCTATTGATAACTGTACCATGAGCATCAGTGTCAGGGCAGATGTGGTGTTCTGTCTCACCTCCAAATTACTTTCAATTTGTATTTTAGTGTCAACTCCATAACAGGGACGTTTGTTTTTCTTTTCACCTTTATACTGTGCAGACTGAAATGTTCAGTCAATGGTATTTTAGAGCTGTGTTTACAGCTTGTGACACGTGGATGAAATGAAACTCCTTAAAAATGGGCTTTAAGTGAAGAAGTGTTTAACACTGTGTGCTCAGTGAGAACAGTATACAATGAGCAGTGTAATTCATCATGGACCCTGTGTCGTTTTAATTGAGTTGAGTGAGTGTCTTATGAGCTAACAGCTATTGTACTCTTGAAAATGTTAGGGCGCTGCATCCCATTGCTTTCCCTGCCCCCTCTCTCCCAAACCACCAATCTGACCTTGGTTACAAAACAAAGTGTGCTGATATTGTTATTGTGTGTTATCACGGTGACAACATTGTTCAGTGTTGTATATAGATCGTGATGTAGTTTATTCTTTATTCTAATCAACAAGAAAATAACTGAGCTCTGTGCTGGTTAACCATTGATGAACGAGTGAACTGGACTCGCCACAAAAATACAGTGGCTACAAGAGCAAGTCAGAGACTATGAATCCTGGTGTGAGTAACTCCCCGCCTGACTCCCCAAAGCACATCCATCATCTCCAAGGCACAAGGCAGGAGTGTGATGGAATACTCTCCACTTGCCTGAATGGGTGTAGCTCCAAAACACAGGAAGCTCAATGCCATCCAGGATAAAGCAGTTCACTTGATTGGCACCACATCACCTTCAACGTTGATCTCCTTCACCACTGGTGCACAGCAGCAGCAACATGCACCATCTACAGGGTACACCACAGTAAGTTACCAAGTCTTCACTGACAGCACCTTCCAAACACCACTAACTAGAAGGACAAGAGCAGCAGATAAATGGGAACAAGTTCCTGTTCGAGCTACTCGTCATCCTGACTTGGAAACGTATCCACCGCTTCTTCAGTGTCACTGGGTCAGAATTGCCAATGATGTTATTGTATAATCTGTAACCCAGGAATTGACAAAGGGTGGCCCATCCCCCCCACCTTGAGAGTGATTGGGGGGAGGGGCAATAAGTGCTGGCTTAACATTGATGCCCATATCCCGCGAATGAATAAAAACTCAAGTTGGGGTAATGGACTGTTGGAGGAGTTCTGCTTCTCTCTCCACAGATGGTGAGCGTTTCCAGAATTTTCCGTCCTCAGCACATTTCTGTGGATGAGCTTTGGTAACATGGGAGAAAAACTAGTTCCTACAGACTTGCTTTGCAAACATTGGGCTCTTCAACATTTTCTGTTCTCTAGACTGGCATCATTATCAATGCAGTGGGTCTATTGCTGAAGAAATGGACAGTGAGGCCATCACTGATGTTCTAAGCGTATTGGTTTGGTCTAAACCACAGATAACATCCTGAGGTTGTAAAAACTGGGAAGGATTAAAATGGACTGGAGTAGATTGCAGCAAACGGGGAGTCTGAGACTGAGTACAAAATGAAGCTGGCTACAAGTTGAGAGCTCTCAGCAGTCTCAACTTCCTGAGGGTCAGGGGTGAAGTTGATCTTTGCCAGTAGAATAAGACAGGCACATAGTGAACAAGGATAGGCTACTGGGGGAATCGGGTTGCTGGGGGGAGTGGGAGTGTCAATGGGGGGTGCTGGAGGAATGGGAGGAGGACTGGGGGAGAGAGAGGGGCAGTGGGGAAGAGAGGGAGAAACGGGAGCAGAGGGTGATGAGGGAATCGAGGTGCTGTGGGGAATAGGAAAGTGAGTGGGAGCAGAGGGTGATGAGGGAATGGAACTGCTGCAGGGAGCAGGACTGGTGGTTAATATTGCTGGGGTGAGTGGAGGGCTCTGCGGTGGGGATGCAGTGGGGAGCAGATTGGGGTGTTGGGGGGGATAGTAGGTCTTGGTGAGGAATTTGGCTGGGGTTTGAGAGAAACCACAGCTTAATTTACACTGCGGGAGATTTTGGTTTTGTGATGAAGACTAGCTTCACCTGGAGTCCCCATCAGAGAGAGCCCTCCGGTTTAATCTGCTCTTGTACTGTTTGCTGCCAGACCAGTGACTGCAGTTCCTTGGCTTAGTTGATCCTGAAGTTGAACGGGCTGAATTCAGTCAAAGCCCAGCGCTCACGAGCCTTCCATTTTGTATTTTAGGTCCTGGCTTGGTTTGAGGAAGCAGAAACCATCACTGCCTTTGTGGAACCCTTCGTGATCCTTCTGATCCTGATTGTGAATGCTCTGGTTGGTGTGTGGCAGGTAAGAATTTATTAGCACAATATTAATCCCTCGCCTCGGATATTCCCACATCTGATTGGAAGCCTGGCTCTCTCGGAGCAGTTAGCTCAATGAACGTCCTGCTAGGATTCAGACAGGGGCAAACTATCATCATGTCAATGATTAAGTGCAGGAGTCCTCCTGGATCCCAGCACAACCCCGGCCAGTTGTAATAGTCACTGTAACCCCCACACAGCATGGGTCAGAGCTGAGACCTGAGACTGCTCTTGCCTTCAGTGGCTCACTCATACCCCTCACTGGACAAGTCATCTCATCTCAAGCTGCGGTGGCTCACTGGGTTAGCAGTGCTGCCACAAAGCACCAGGGACACTCGGGCAACCGTCTGTGTGGAGTTTGCACATTCTCCCTGTATCTGCATGGGTTTCCTCTGGATGTTCTGATTTCTTCCCACAATCCAAAGATGTGCAGGTTAGGTGGATTGGCCATGCTAAATTGCCAGTAGTGTCCAGGGATGTGCAGGTTAGGTGGATTAGCCATGGGAAATGCAGGGTTACAGAGATAGGGTAAGGGTGTGGGTCTGGGTGGGATATTCTTTGGAGGGTCAGTGTGGACTTGGTGGGCCGAATAGCCTGTTCACACACTATAGGGATTCTATGATTCTTAAAAGAAAACTACCATGTACAAGCTGATTCCAAAAGGACAGCTAACTCTATCAGCATAATGTGCTGGAGAAACTTTGCAGGTCTGGCAGCATCTGTGGAGAGAGAAACAGAGTTAATGTTTCAAGGCCAGTCACCCTGGTTCTGATGGACTTGAAGCATTAACTCTGTGTTTCTCTTCACGGATGCTGCCAGACCTGCTGAGTTTCTCTAGCAATTTCTGTGTTTGTTATTACTCCTCAGTTATATTAGATCACACTTGGCATGGTTCGGATCTGCACATTCCAAAAAAGATTTGCATGCATTGCCAAAGGTGCGAAAAAAAATTTACATGGATAATGCCAGAGTTGAGGTGTTCTAACTAACAGTAAAAACTGACAGGCTAGAGCTCTCTCCTCTACAAAAGAGAGAACTCAAGCGAACTGAGCGCTTTCAAATTATTGAAGGGATTCACTAGGCTGGATGTAGAGTAAATGTTTCTAACGTGATACAGTTCAATACTCCATATAATTAGTCGCTGATAAATCCTTTTAATGAATTCAGGAGAAAGGTTTCTTAAAACCAGAGTATCCCGAGTGTGGATCTCCCTGCCATGGAGCTGTAATTGAAGAAAATAGCTTCTAAGGGAAAGTTAGATAAAACACGGATGAGAAAGGAAATGTGAGAGAAGTGAGGAGAAGACTTGTGTGGAACATGAGTTACCAGGGTAGATCAATCAGGCTGAATAGCCTGGTCTGTTTGTGCTGTAAGAGAAAATGAGAAACACAATTTCAGTGTAAAGGATATGATGTGGCTGGGAGGTAAACATTCTGGGTAATAGGATCTTTAGAAAGGATGTTGGAATAGGAAGAATAATAATGTAATCACATGAGAACATTAAAAAAAAGGAACCGGAGTATTCAGCCCTTGAAGTCTCCCCTGCCATTTTATAAGATCTGCTCGAAGCCTCAAATTCTCAAGCTCTGATGGATAAAGGTCCAATCCATTTAATGGTTCTTGATAAGTCAGCCCTTTTATCACAGAAATTAACCTAATGAATGCTTTTGAACTGTCTGCAATGCCTGTACATCTTTTCTTTAAATACAGGGACCAAAACTATGCACAATATTCCAGGCATGGCCTCACCAACATCCTGTACAGTTGGAACAAGACTTCCCTATTTTTAAACTCCCAGTCTCTAGCCGTAAAAGCCAAAATTCCATTTGATTTCTCAATTACTTGCTGCACCTGCATGCTAACTGTTGCCTTTTTATGCGCAAGAACACCCAGGTCCCACTGCACTGCACTTTTGTTTGGAGTCTCACTCTATTTAAATAAAAGCCTGCCTTTTGATTCTTTCTCCAAAATGTGTGACTTCACACTTTCCTACATTAAACTCCATCTGCCATGTTTTATCAGGGTTCTCCATCTATCTGTATCCCCTATGCAGATTCCTTATGTCTTTATCACAACATGTATTCCCACCTATTTTTATATCATCAGCAAATTTGGATACATTATTGTAGTTGGTAGATGGAATTTAAATCCAAGTGAATTGGTTTGGGAATACTAAGCAGAATAACACTAGGAATAATCAACAACAAACAATGCATGGCTTTGGGAGCGGTTCACAGACCTCCTGACAGTATAGATGTAAAGGGGATTGGGGGGTGTGGAATTGTGAGATATAAATGTGGTGATTAGAGAAACGTAATGATTTTAATTTTCACAAAACGAGAGACATCAGCATGTAAGATGAATGAATTTCATGGTCATCACTAAACTCATTTCCGTGTTATTAATGAATTCAAATTTTGCTGTCTGCCATGGAGGAATTTGAACCCAGGTCTCCAGAACATTACCTGGGTCTCTGGACTAATTGCCTAGAGATAGTATCAGCAGACCATCTCCTACTGCCTACCGAATTGTACTGTTTCGACTTTAGTACGTTGATAAGTCAGCTCGTATTCAAGAACTGAACCCATGCCTGTGCCTGATCAGCTCAGACAACCTGCACAACAACAGAGCTAGTGCCCTTTGGAATGTCAGTCCCATGCCAACATGCCTAATTCTTAACTGGCCTCAGGAGTGGCCTAGCTAGTCCTTCAGGTTTATTAGGCCTGCCCATGTCCTGAGCGAGTAATGCAGGATATCAACTCTGGGGTTTACTTAAATGACTCAATTTTAAAAAGAAATTGAGATTGGTACAAGCCTGATGCTGGTAAGTTGGATATTATGGAATAGTTGATGTGTTGGTCAGTGATTTTTTGCTTGCAAGGTACATATTTTCACATGGGAATTGAACTATTGACTGTACGTGGTCTGTGGTATCCTGCTGATTGACAAAATAACTGATGAGACTGGCAAAGTAACATACACTGGGCACAGCTTTGCTAAGGATAGTTAATGTCACATTTGACTATTGGGTAATTTCATTGTTTGTATCCTATTTACAGGAAAGGAACGCAGAGAATGCAATCGAAGCACTGAAGGAGTATGAACCAGAGATGGGCAAGGTTCACCGAATGGACAGGAAAGCTGTGCAGAGAATCAAAGCCCGGGATATAGTACCTGGAGACATTGTGGAAATTGCAGGTGAGTGATGCCCTCATGACTGGTGCCTTACTGCTAATGAGCCGTGGAGAGCACCACTCGCCTCTTGCAACCATTGGACCCAGTGACAGGACTAAACTGCATGTGTGCACATTTAGTAAAATTCCAACATGGCTTGAAAATTTAAAAGATATTATTTCAGAATGCAATTTCTGCAGCGTATCACACACAGAAATATCAAACTGCCCGTGCAGACTTGGAATCAGAGAATCACTACAGTGCAGAAAGAGGCCCAGGCCCCACTCTATCCCTGTTACCCTGCATTTCCCATGGCTAATCCACCTGACCTGCACATCCCTGAACACTACGGGTAACTTACCATGACTGATCCACCTAACCTGCACATCTTTGGACTGTGGGAGGAAACCCACGCAGACTCGGAGAACGTGCAAACTCCACACAGACGGATTGGTTTTAGAGGGGCAAACGTGGCAGTTGATGTCATTGTCACTCAAACTGCCATTTTACATCCGTGCTGAACCCCACACGCTGTTGCCTACCAGGCTTCCCGTTCACTGCCCAAAGTAGCTGGCAATTTTACACACAGTCGGATAACAAGCTGCTGGAAGTAACAAGGTGTAG